CTCCTGGGAATAGAATCACTCAGGCTCTGAGTTACGTCAGCAGGGATAGCAACCGTATGTGACCTCGGGGTTTCGTAGGCCTCAGCATTTGGTGTTTTTCCCTCACAAGTGTGGCTGGGTTGGAAAGGCCGCCTATCCTTTCAATGAAAACTGCACGTTTTAGAAGGAAAGCAAAGGAATAAGAAAAGGAAATTTTAAATTATCTATGTTCTTCTGTTATTGGATCATCATCTCCTGTTGTTTATCAAGTAGGCTTAATGTCTTTGGGCACCTCTACCCTCCACCCCCTCCTCAGATGGCAAATGCCAGAGAGCTTTTGTCTGGCTGCTCCTGGTTTTATCTTCTGTCCCCTTGCCTTTGCTGTGGATGGCAAAAACAGAGTAATGGAAGTTGTGAAGTGAAGTGTTAATGGCTGGTAGATTGGATATGGCTCTTAAGCCAGAGGTATTTATGGTGGATGCACCATAAGTCACCGATTTCTTAACATCCTTTATAGCTTCACACCCTAAGCACAAACCGGGCAGTGCTGTCCTAATAAACATCTCAGTAACTGGGCAGTACTCTTAAGTTGTTCCAGGATAATTCAGACTTGCCACAGTATATTCTGAAGGTGGGAGAGGTTAACTACAGGTATTAAAAATTAATCGGTATATTTGCAATATGCTTCCAAACAAGCAATTTATCGCTAATTATTTATGCAAACCAAACACTTTAGACATATAAAGATTTAACTCATGGTTATGTGATGTTGTAAATGGCAGGGCATCATTCGTATGGTCAGTATGTTAAGTCTTTGAACTTGCAAATCCTTAATTGTGAGTTTAACTTCTAAGGCAAGGGATAAGTTCCCTTTGGTAACTCTTGAGTGTCGTGGGACACATGCATATTTCAAGTTACATATGCACTTAGGTCTTTGCATGAATGCATTTTCTTTTTTTTTTTTTTAACGTATCATCAATTATGTGCAGCAATTATTGCTAGGAAAATGACTCTTTCTGCCCTAAGGTCTCCATGAGCTAGGATGAACTCTAATGTTCTTTCATGCTTTGTCATTTGCATGTTTTCTTTCAAACTTTACCCTACAGTATGAAGTTTTCCCTTAGTAATATCAAGCTAGTTCATATTGCAAACAAAAGAGATCGGGTAACCACAAAAGAGAACATATTTTATTTTCCTGTATTTAAAAACCCCCAACTTTTAGGGTCATAACTTTATGTTGATCATATTGAATGGGTTGTCTGAAAATACATGCTCCCTGCAAGTAGTTATTGATTGCTAATACATTTTCATGTCGATTAGGTTTTACTCAGGGGAATTATCTTCAGCATGTGGTGTCATTTCCCTGTAGTGTTTTTCCCTTTAAAAAGAGTGGAAGATAATGGGACTAGGTGTGACCTTAAGAGGTCCTCTAGTCCATCCTTCCGCCCTGAAGCAGGATCAACTGTGCTTGTCGTTCCCAACAGATGTTTGTCTAACCGCAGCAGCGTCTTGCAGACACAAAAGCAAGATTACAAAAAATGAAAAGGAAAATATAGGGTATGTTCCCTATATAGTTTTCCTTGCTACCTACATCAGAAGCAGAAACATAAATGGAGATACCCAGACAGGTCAGTCTGGACATATCTTATTTTGATTGGAAACTCGAACCTTTCAATTTTCTGTTATGTCCTGAATAAAACACTGAAGCAAGCTGAAGTAGCACAGATGATGAATGTGTACTACTTCGTTCTAAAAGCGACAGTTTAAGTTGCTGTCACAGCATGTACTAGCACTGTCATTTAAATTCTGTTCAGCATACATTAATTACAAAGTTGTCCCAATTCCTTCATCTACTCCTGAGTAAAATGAACAAGTTTTCAGCATTATCGAACACCAGAAGAATTGTTTAAGTTGATTCATAATGCTGAATAGTTTAGTTCATAGGATTGTCATCTGCCCTTGAACCTGCAAAGTCACAGGTTTACTACTATGACTCTTCACAAAGTTGCTATCAGCATGGCAGTAGATAGTTCATGGGTTTAGCGATTGTATTCAAGAAAACTTAACCACTTCAGACATCTTTGGAACGGTTTCATATTAAACAGCTGCAGATAGCAGTCTAATGTAACAAAGAAGTCATATCTGTAAAGATCATTGATACCTGTGAGTGCAACAAATGTAACGTGGGGGATATCACTTTAGGTGGTCAGAAGCATTGCACAACCAAAACAAGTCTTGGTTCTTTGTGAATAATTGGGATGGTTGTAAGATAAGAGACTCCCAAATAATCCCTTTAGGCTTTGGGAGAACAGGTATGCAAGCTACAGAGATAAGCAGGCTGCAAGATGATCTCAAGACCCCCAATGATTGAAGGACATTAACACATACTAATGAGTTATTGGAAAAACCAGTACTATGATAAGCATTTCTTGGAAATGTAATTAATATGTATATTAACATAGCATAAATACCTAGTAACGGTGTCTCTTCGGGGCACAGGTTTGGAGGAGAGATCCCGTGTGTTCCCGGTGCCATAATAAAGAATACCCACTTAATAGCCTTCCGACTATGGAGTCTTCAACTCTGGCTTTTCACGGCCTCATCTCAGATAAATTTCAGTCAGCCAAAATCTGTAAAATGCAAACATATAGCAATGTATGGTCTGTATGATGATCATTACCTATGTTTCAATCCCAGATTTATTACCATGCTTTTCCTAACTCAGTTGACAAATGGGATTAACGAGTAAAGAATCAGAGATTCTTAAAGATAAGTGATAAGGAGAGGCTGTAATTGTAGTTGGTGTTTTCTACTTTTTCCAACACCCAGTTTCACAGAGGTGAGAGGGCTTCACCCCCTCAACCCACACCCACGTTTGTTCTTCCCCTGGACATCATATCTCTGACAGGAGCATGCTTCCAACTTGAAGAACCCTGGGCACACAACTGCTAATGAGCAATTTTATCCATCAGCAGATAAACCTGCAACAGGAACAAAAAGCTGGAATGGCAATTGACTCTACTTTTCCATCCCCTCCCTAATTCAGTGTTGTGGTTTCTGCCCCTCCTCTTCTAATTAAGAGTCTCCCAGTGCAAAATCAATGTCAAATGATAAAGTCTATTCCTTCCTTAGGGAAAGCCTCCTGGCATCTCCTTGTTCTTTGTTCACGTCCCATCATGCACAATGTTGTCAGTGATCCAGCAAATACCAGATGTTGCATTGCCACCTGTGGTGTTCCCAGAGTCAGTAAGTTTTATACAGATAGGTGTTTTCAGCGTGCTAGGAACAGAAAAACTTTGGGGCAAAAGAATTTTTAATAGTTTAAATAAAATCTATTACTGTCATAAATTAAATATACACACCGATGCCAAGCATTGCTGAAACTTGGTTAAACTATAATTGTATGGTACATATATTTTACCTTAGATTTGAGACATACCCTAAATATAGGGAAATTTTGATAGCTCTTTAAAGGCTAGTTCATGTTCCATTGTAATGACTCTGAAGAAGGTTTTTAAGGTCTAAGACAGGCTCGCATTCTGTTTGCAGCCCGTTCATAACGAAATTGTTGCCTTGGGCAGTCCTCAGTACAAGGAGGGGTTTTAAGCCCACCTGGAAGTGCATTTTTTGTACCACAGCACAGCCCAAGAGCGTGGGGCATCAATGCTGCTTCGGCAGTTGGTGGAGCGGCAGAGTTTGTATAAACACAGACCTGAACTTCAGGGACCTGAGAGCTAGTCACTGACTCACTTGTCAGTCAAGTATTTTGTGTGTAAAACTTCGGCAGAGGAGAGAGACTTCTCAGATTGCTGGAGATTACTTAAAATCCAGCCTATGCTTGGCATTGCAGAAGGTATTTTAAGCATCTTTTTTAACTCCAGTTTGTAGCGCACTTTGAGTTTCTGAAGTGTAGCCTGGTTACTGCTAAGCTGTGACAAAGCTCCAGTGATGGGCTCATCATGAATGAAGTCTCTCCGTGCAGCTGTGGAACAGGAACGCGCTGCCGTCACACTGACCTCCGAGCATTGGACAACGTGTTGTCTGTGGATCTTGCTTTGGAGGGGAGGAATGGGAGGTTTGTTATTTCATGTCAAGTAAATGATGCTCCTTGCTCCTACATATAATTCTACGTTCAGTTTTGAATGGATATTTCACTCCGTGTTCCCCAAGGCAATGAAACTCTGCCCAGGCTTCCCAGGGGAGGTGAGGGATACAACAAGGTCAACCTATTCCATCACCTACAAGCCTAAGTATGGAAACCGAGGTCCACACAGCGCACATGAAAAATGTTGAAAATAACTTCTTCTCTGCAGTTAGTGCACCCACATCATCTCTACTCCCATTAGTTCTATCTTATCTTTCATGGGTGGGGAGAGAGACCAAAGAGAGGTTACAACTTATATGCACTGAAATCAAACACCGCAATAAAATGACCTCACAGGGCGTGTATCATTGTGTGGCAGCGTCATTCAGCAGGGTGAGACCCTTGACCTTTTGGTGAGAATCAACTGTGCTGTTTAGCTGGAGAAAACATTCAACAGATGGGCCCCTCTTAATCTTCTGCTGCACAATAAAAGTATAGCCAGATAACGGCAGTTACTGCAGCTTGCATAGCCTTCAGCTTTGCACAAAATAGGCTCATAGAAGCAGAAATGAAAAACCTTTCTTTGAGGTACTGGTGGCTTTTCCAGTATTTCTGTCACTTTTTCTATGTTGCTCCCTTAGTCTGTTAGACGTGCATCCCCTCTTGCCACTCTTAACTGAGACAGATTTTGGAATGGTTAAAATGCATGACATGAGCATGGTGGCTGTCAGGTAAGACTGGGGACAAGTTTTTCAGAGTAATGAGCACTTAAATCACTCTAATGTGTGTCTGGTGGTTTAGCTCCTGAAATCAGATTATCAGCTTCTCAGTGCATGTACTGCATGGCTTCGGAATGTCAATGGCACGAATTGTTTTTATTTTTTGCTTCATTTTTCTTTATTGACGTGAAACGAATAAACATTTCCATTGTTGGCAGCATCAGTAATGAAGGCATCAGTAGCTACAGTGCTGAAGATTTACCCAATCCAAACTCAAGCACGGTGTCTTCAGAGATGACAGGACAGAACAGCATCTTGCCAGAACACGGAGGACAAACAGGCTCTGAGTTCTTAAAGCAGGCTGCAGAAGCAAGAGAGAGAAGTCTGCCTACCTTGATGCCTTTAGCAGACTGTGCCAAAGAACGTGTCACAGGAGATCTTATAAGCAGCAATGACAAGTTACCAACCTCAAATTGCAATGCATTGGCAAGTTTGGAAGCAGTGCCATCACCAGATCCAGTCAATGATAAAGAAGAGGGAATAGCACATGCCTTATCAGTGGACAGAGGCCTGAAAAGTGACAACATTGCTGCCACTTCAATGAAAAACAGTGAGAATGATCCCAGAAACCCAAGCCTGGAACCCAGCCCTCCTGCAGCGATTACAGAAATGCAAGGAGTCACACAAATGAGTTTGAGTGAATTAGAATGGCTCTGGCAGAGTGAACAGCTGGGTGGCATGAGGGAACCACATGTCAGCACGTTTCCCCAGGGTAAAGAAGCAGGAGATTATTTTACTGCTCAGGAGGCCAAGCAGGAGCGAGGAGTTTTGGAAGTAGGTCAGCCACACAGTGTAATGCAGCAAGGTAGATGGAACACAGATGGTGGAGAGGGTCTGCTAATGAAAAAGGAAACCTTAATCCTAAATTATCCAGCAACAGGAGGCTCAGATGTTGAAAAATTTGGAGCAATAGCGAATGCTGAGGGCTTCACTGAGATCAATGAAGTCTGTAATCTACAGATGGGGGCTGTAACAACAGCTAAAGGGAGCAAGGCAAACCCAGCTCTATCTGGAAGCAAAGGGGAGCGATCAGAAGCCTGTACTTTAATGTCAGAGTTGCCTTCTAACCCTCCGAGTCTCTTCCTGGTACCAAAGCCTGAAGAGCCTTCGAGGGAAGATGTGCCTGGAAATGACTCTGAAGATCCAACGAGGAGTGAAGCAGTGAAAACAGCCTCTGAAAAAAATGAACCCATTTTTCAAAGAGAGCTTCAAAAGGAGAATGAGCTTGTTAGCGCTGAGCATTTCAGTGTGCCTTTATCATTCGAGCGAGAGGAAGAACAAAAATCAGCTGTCACAACTGAAAGCCCAAAAGATGAAGCCAGTAGCAATGAAATTGTAAAAGCTGATGATGTGTCTAGAGAAAGCACCGCACTTTCTGAAACAGAAAGCATTATCAATCCCACCAAGGAAAATTCCCTGGCAGATAAAAGATTATTACTGGAAGAATACGCATTAAGTACATCTCTGAGCAGATCCACAGAGCTGAATCAGAAAGAAACCGAGGCAACTGTTACAGGAGAAAAAAATGACATCAGAACTGGGGTGGCACAAGTGGCAGAAACCAGTGAATTACCTGAGGGGTGGAGTGGGGCAGAACAACAACTACTGAACCCTGTTAGTAGCCACCACCAGGATGTGAAAAATGCCCACTTGGGACACAATCTCGAAGAACTCAGTTTTTGTGAAAAGCCTTCAGCAGGTGACCTAGTGGAAGAAGCTGAGCAAAAGCCTCTGAATTTAGACAGTAACTTTAAACCACCCGAAGACCATTCACAGTCTCTTGGTTGTAAACCTGAACAACAAATGAGTACAGAGAAAACAGCTGCCACAGACGACCTGGAGAATCGGCTCATGGCTTCACCACAGTTGCCAAGGGACAAATGCCCATCGGGTTTTGATTGGTTTAACTCTGAGGCAGAAGACAAAACTTCGGGCCAGCCAGGCTGTAACAGGACTGAAAAGGTTTGTTTAGCCAGTGCACACAGTTCACCGCTCCTCCACTCTGCGAACAATACTGTTAAGCAGAGTAAGCAGGACGAATCCTGGGAAAACGCTTTTGCTAGAGAAACTGTGTTGGAATCTGAGTGCAAAACTGAGAGTGAAGAAAAGCCTGAGAGCGATAGCAAGTCGGAAGAAAGCACAAAAATGTCCAAATCAGAACTCGAGTTCCAGGGCTTAAATGAGTTGGCAGGGACTATGGATCGCACGGCTGTGCCAACTGAGGAGGCCTCATGGGTTTCAGAAACCAAGGAGCAGGTCAGCTGCATGGCTGAAGTGCCTCACGGTGATCCAGAGCAAGGCCCTGCAGCTGCACAAACCAGTGCTGTGGATGGTAAAGAAAACGAGGGTGTTCAACAAGAGAAGCACCAAACTGCGGTTGAAAGTTTCACGGAGGACAAAGATTTGGCACTGAAAAGCAAATGCAAAGCGGATATGGTGGTGCAAGCTCAGCAGGAGCAAGTGGCTGCAGAAAGGCACAGAAATACGCAGATGGCTTGTTCAGAAACCTCCCAAGCTGTAGTCGGTCCTTCAGGACTCACTCCTCGGCACGTTCGCATGGAGGAAGGGGGTGACAGCCACACTGGTGAACACAGCTTCCCCTCTGAGAGTGACACACGCAGCTCTGCAGAGGCCCTGGAGTGCGGTAGCAGAGAGTTGCAGGAAAATGCAGATGTTCCAACTGCTCTTCCCCAAGCAGAGCAAATGGAGAAGTCAGTGTCTGTTTCTGGGGACAGTGACTGGATTTCAAATACAGGACTCGAGCAACAGAAGCAGCAAAGCAGTCTGACAACTGTCACAAGAGCAGATGATCAGGAGCACAAAGAAATGGCTCTAAAACCTGAACAGCCATTGGACCTAAATAATCACAGCAACATACCAGAAATACCTCTAAACATTTCAAACAACCTTCAGAAAGAAACTTCTGTGCTAGGTCCAGCACCAATCCAATGCAACTTTGACACAGCAGAAGAAAAGGTCAAGAATAAAAGCAGTGCCATAGTGTCAGAGGAGATGGGCAGCAGTGAACACGGGCAAAATATTTCTGGTGTGGCCATGCTTAATTTGCAAGACTGCAACAAGCAAAACAAAACTGATCTCAAGGCAGAAGAAAACTGCTGCAGTAAGCCAAACTCAAGCGAGCCCGAGCAGGATAATAATTCTTTGATCTCAGCTAGTCAGCATGAAGCAGCATGTCATAGCGATACGTTTTCTAAAGAATCTGACAAGAATGAACAGCCAGGCAGCATATGCAGGATAAAGGATAAAACTGGTGCGAGCCGTGCTGCTGCTACAAATGCTCTTCCAGGGACACAGAATTCAGCAAGTGCCACTAACATATCACAGGCTTTGCCAAGTGATACAGAAATAGCACATACTTCTGATAATTCTGAGAAAAATGATCCTCAAATATCTCACCCGGAAACTCAAGGAAAAACACCATTAATGGCAAAAAAATCAGAAAAGATTGAAGGTCTGACTGCTGATGGGGAAATCATCCGGAAAGATGGAAACTTGGAGATAAGTTGTGAGGACAGTGCTTCTGTCACAGAAACAAGCAATATGAAAAGTGGTTTAAGTCCAGGGGCACAAGGATCTCCTTCACCATTACAGGCACACGGGGAAGTAATTCCCACTGATAAGGCGTATAAACCCAGGGGTGTTCAAAAGACACCAGAGGAGCCTGGTTATTGTCAGGCAAATATTACAGCCCTCTCTACACAGACCTCTGCCCTCAGCCATCCTAGCCAGCAACCTGGAAACAATATGAACAGCAGTGCTGGGGGGGAATCGCTAAATAACGAGCTGGAAGTTGTAGCATGCCAAAATGCTGTAGAAGGTGACTATAATTTGCAGATTGCTGCAGGTTCTCAGGTGTCTGTGCACTTAGGTCCCTCACCCAGCGTAAGCACGGATGAAACAGCACATTCAGAAAACAGCCCTGTGGGGAGTGTGCAAGTGAGTGAAAAAGATGCTCCAGACCAAAGTTTTGAGGGTGACGGAGACCGAAGTTTATCCCTGCCAGAGACTTTAAATGTGGGGCAGAGTACTGGAAACTTATCACAGTTCAATTCCGAGAAGCTGAAGAAAGAGGTATCTGCAATTAAATCCAAAGAAACAAAAAGTGAGGTAAACTTCAAAGAGCAGCAAAGTGACAGTTCAGCAGAGTCTCTTTTAGCTCACCCTGCTCTGGAAGGGAAGCTGCTGAGCCTTTCATCTGTTGGTAAACAAGAAGGCTGTAATGAGGAAATTGCAACCAATATCTGCGTAGATGACAAGTACGGTAAGATCTTAGAGAAACCTGGGAATTCAGAAAAAGTGGAAGAGCTTTCAAAAGAGAATAATAACGTAAGCAGGGCAGAGATCAGTATTTCCGAGCAGTCTGCAGAGAACTCAGGAAGGGAGCGTGAGGCTCTGACTTGCAGCTCTCTGGACGTTGGCTCCAGCCTCCCAGACTTCAGGGAGCACATCAGCCGGATATTTAAAAAAACTGTCCACAGCACACTGAGTGCTGAATTACCCCAGCTTTTGTCTGAAAACCGTGCAGGCTTCAAGCAGAGTCCAGTGGCCAAGGATACAGCAGAACTGTGCCATGCTGAGAACTTTTCAGAATCCATCAAGGTGGACAGAGGAGCTCCCGAGGGCACCTCAGAAGCAGAGGGGCAGGAGTTGTCTTTAGCTGCTGAGACTTCCTGCAAAGCTGCCAAGGGCAAATCTCTGCAACAAGAAAACACAGTGACAGAGCTGCCACCAGCAGATCTCCAGGACACTGAGAAAAATAGGCAGGCTGGTAGCTGTTTAGAAGTGAATGGCGCTGCACCTGCTGAATGCGCTCTGGAAAACCTACCAAAGCCAAATAAAACCACTGAGCATCCACAGAGCAGTGAGATGGAAAGAAAGGAAGACGTGGGTGCTAGTGGCGTTGGGGCTGAATCGCTAATAAGCTTAGAGATGAAGAAGCAAGGACCGGCTTCATTTGATGGGGCAGCAGCTGAGAACTTCCCTGCATATTCTGACAGCAAGCAACAACCCACTCTAGCTGGTATCTCCACAGGCGATGTGCAGAAGAGTGACTTAGAAGATGCTGCTACCACAGAGGGAAAAAACTTAATTACAGAGTGTAATGCAGAACCGGTTTCATCTGAAGAGGATGCAAGTCTTCCTACTGAACAGTGCCGGGATCCTAAGCCAAATGAACAGGAGAGAAGTGAGTACGGTGATCCAGACGCTGCCCAGAGCGTCTCTGACATGGCAGCTTCAACACTTGTCCCGGGGGAATCTTACAATCCTGACAAACTGCCAGACGATTTTACTGTGTTACCTGGGGAAAATCAGGAGACACTCATTTGCAGCAATTTTATGCATGACATTAAGTCTCAGAATGACACGCAGGTGGTACAGGATGATCAAGTAAATAGGAAATGCCTGGAAACATCAGAAAATTCACAAGATGCACGGCAAGAAAAGAAAGTGGCCATGCATGAGTTAATAGATTACTTAAAAAACGAAGTGAGCCAGGATGATTGCTTGCAAACTGACTCTAAACTAGAATCGAGCGATATGACTGAGGGAGATGTAAAAGAGAACAGTGACACGGTGTTAAGCGCAGCAGAAACAGGTAACGAAAAAACTGGAGGCACCCCTGAAACAGGTACTGCAAGGATGTTAGTCACTGGTGAAGGTGACTTAGCTTTAAACACGAGCACTGAAGAGCAGGAAACAGACCTGGGCAAAAATCACTCTCCAAGCATTCCTGTGAAGGAGCAGAGTGAGCATTCTGCATGTGCAGATCTCACTGTTGCTGAAAATCAGCCGAGCAAGATGAATTCAGAACATGAAAGCTCACTTCAGGATGCCAAGAGAAAGCTATCACCACTTGCGTTAATTGAGCCTGAGAACCTTGACCTCAGTGAGCTTCAAGACATGGCTGTGGCATGATTTCCTTCTGAAAGGTATTTATTTACTTTAAATTACTATGTGAAATGGTTGTCAGGACCCTGGGGCTTGACAGGGACACAATTTTCCAGGCAGATACCCATTGTCTGGGCGGTTTGGGAGGGCGTGGCAGTTACTCTGTTCTTAAATTTCTATTAAATTTCTGTTGCTTCTAAATGTGGACTATGTGGAAGAAATTTGAAATAATTTGCAAGAGCAGAGGGGTCCTAAAACCCGAGGTGCACAGTTCTTACCTCTTCCATCTGCTGGCCCAAATTCCTGCCCTTGCCTGTGTGGATTTGCCTACGCTCCCCAGTGGTCACATCTCGTAGCCTAAAGTTAGGCAAACAAATAGCACTTCCTAGCCTTGGGTTAGTATGCTTCTGCCTCCGTTTTGGTGACCCACTTAAATGAGACCTGCAGCATTCACATGGTGGATGGCAGTGTTTAAAAACCAGCCTACAGCGTAACCCAGTTACTCACACGGTTAGTTGTCTAGGCCTCCCTCTTATCCTCCTGTGTAATATAATTGCATTGACAGTGCCTTTGATCACTGTGTTATTCAGTGCTTCTAATGACATGGAATTGTTTCAGATGTGAATTCTCCTTAGCTGGGATTTGTTGAGCCTAAGAATTGGATTTTTTTTATTTTCCAAGCCTAGCAGTAACTGCTTTAACAAAGTTAAGACACTTTTTTTAGGAGTTTCTACTTTGCTGTTTGAATTCTCAGTTTGATGTGCAGTTAATTCAAAAGAGTTCTGGTCTTAGAACAGGAGCTTTCCCTTGATCTGGTCATGTCACTGCTTCCTCTGTAACCTCAGCAACTTTCTTGCATGCTGTCCCTCTCCTTCCCATCCCGGAGGAGGCAGCTGTAGCTGCGACTGCGACAGGCGGCAGCAGAGCAGAAGGGTACAGTGAAAAGCTGAACTATTTCAGACAACATCAGTGAATGCTCTGCATAGATGGAATCTTTCTAAGTATCACCAAAAAATTAGATGATGTTAACTGAATAAGGAATGAAAATGTTTCAGTGCCACACTCCTTAATGTACTAATGCCAATTATGAAATGGTATTGTAAGTGAAAATACCTGAAGTGTTTCTGTTGTGAAAATGTGGGGGAGTTCTTTCTGTATGTGAGTCTGGGCTGGAGGCTAAATATGGTCTAATTTTTTGAGCAAAATGTACTTTAGAAGAATATTGGAAGTGTTGGAAGTCTGAACAGCTCTATGACTTTCTCTTTAAGGATCTGTCTTTAAAATGACAAGGAAATTAGACCCTGGTATTTCTCTCCACTTCCTTCTCTTTCTTTTTGTTTCCCTTTATAAGATGGGAAGCATCACAGTGGGGAGCTTTGAAATTACCAAACAAATTGCTGGCACGGCCTGGTTCAGAAGCCTGCAGGGGCAGCACATGCATATGTCCATGCATGTGTTTTATATCAGGGTGGGTGTCCTCCTCTAAATAAATACCTGTGGCAAGCAGGGCAGGGTTCTTGAAACAGCTGCTGGCAATTCATAGCGTAGTTGCTCAATACTTGCATATGCTTTAAGAATTCATTATCACCTGTTTTTCCAGCGTGATGAGGGTTTGTATCAACAGGCAGCTGCTGCTTTTGGGCTGAGCTGTAAGTGGGGTCACACACATACCGAGCGTGCATACGCCCGTGGAGATACTGCGTCCAGAGCCGTACGCGATTGCAGGATTGCAGACTTGAACACTGGGGACTCTCAGAGGTAGAGAGGAGTCTCTGCCTTTGATCAGGCTCGTTTCTTAGAGGCATATGCATTTATAATGCAAAAGAAAAGTAAGGAAGCGTTAGTTGAGCCAGCTGGTCTGTCTTCAGCAGGTCTGACACACCGACCAGTGCGCTTTTTCCTCTCGGCTTAAAACTGGGTTTGCATTGTTGAATCATTCAAGCTGTATTCCACACTCTGTGCTCCAGTCATAACACTTGTTGCTTCAGAGTAGTTTCCAGTTTTTTATGGCCTGCTAATCCTTACAGAGGACAAACTACTAGAGCTATGCAAAAAAAGGTGCATATTTCTAGGAACTGACTGTGGGGATCTCAGCCTGATGAAAAGGACTCCAGGGAGAAAGCATCCTCCCTGCTCTCAGAATAAATAGATAAATAGTAGTAAGAAGTGTATTATATTTAGGAGAATGAAATGGCATGTTCTGAATTATTTCAGCATTGTTTTCTCCCATCTCCACTGCTTCTCTGTAGGTCCATGTCTTACAAGGTCTCTTATGTTGGAACCCCACTGAACTGTAGGTAAGGGGGCAAAGTTGCATGGTCTGACTCTTAAATCCTTGTTAGGATTTCTTCCTGTAGAGGAAATAGAGGAATTTCTTTGCTTTCTGGCTATGGCACTGGGTAGGAGGGTGGTCTTGTGATGAACAGTAGACCGGAGGGTTGTCTGCAGTGACTGCAGTGACTCCTCCTCCCTCCCCCTTTAGTGGTCTTTGTGTTTGAAGGCAATAGCATGGCATCAATAGTTTCCTTTCAAATCTTCAGTAGAAAAGAACAGTTACTTTTGGAAAGGAGGCTGTGGGTGAAGCATTAGTCCCACTTTTTTGTGGAAGTTCAGCTGTGCTGCTGGCAGAAGTAGGGAAGGGTTGGATTTTGGCAAACCTGACTGCCAGCACTGAAAAGGAGTCAAAAAATAACCCTGTCTTTGATGGTTTTGACGTTTCTGTTTCCCCATCAGCTCCGTGACTGAAAATCTGTGTTCATAATGGCCACATCTGGGCATCAAAATGTCATCCTTCCCACTTACTATTGAGCATCTAGCCACTCCATTTTACTGTCAGAGTTTTACTTGGAAAGGAAGAATAGGACTGAAGAGGCTTTTTTTCTCCTTTTGTAATGTCTACACCCATACATCTTCACTCTTTTATGGAGGGAGAAGGGAGGTTCATCTACATACAGGGAGTCCTCGTACCTTATGCCATGGCAATGCTCCTGTTTGCATCATGGGGTGTGGCAGATGTTGAGCAGAGCATGGAACAAAATTGGAAATGAAGGCAAAATTTTAGAAATGTTTAGAGATGGCATGGAGTTTTTTGGCAACTTCCTGTAATTCTGCTGGCTGGTATGTGCAAACTGCCGTTGTCTCGTGGAAGAAACGCCGAGGGAGCGTTTTGGGGTGCAGACTGTGAAGTCACTCCCAGATGTGCATCTGTGAGGTACAGAGAACAGGTTGCACCGTTCGCTGATCTGTTGGCTTGGCAAAACTCTCAGCTTGTTCACAGGCCTTAGGGCGTTGCAGGGTTGCGGAGATGCTCTCAGGCTCATCTTGGGGCTGGTTGTGCTAGGGAGGGAAGAGCCCAAGGAGCTGTAAGCATGCTGCAAGCAATGATGCTCGTTTTGCAGTAAGGTGGGGTTCTCCTCTGCACCCCTCGGCAGAACCGGTTTGCTGCACAGAGCAGGATGGGCTGTGCTCGGTGCAGCGCCGAGCAATACTCCCGGTGCCTTCTCCTGCCTTGAACGGGGGAGGGCATTGCGCAGGCTTGGCATCCCCAGAGCTTCTGGTGCTACTGACTTCTGCTGGAGCTCATGCTGCAGAAGCAATCCTTATTGCAGCCTGTCTGGGCAAACCCACAGACAAGATGCCGTGCTTCCATGGCTGTACTCATGCAGGTGCTCATTCTTTCTCTGTGGTGCCAGAGCCTTCCTTGCTGGCCGTACCTCGGCCTGCTCCTCACTGTGTGAGTGGCATGTGAAGCTGGCCTTCAATGGCGAAGAGGCTGTGGCACCGCGCCGCTTTGGGGGCAAGTGTTTCCTAACAGATTTTGACACTGCAAGAGGGTTCTTTCCCAGATTTAGCACCCTGTTGTAAGCACTCTCTTATCACTGCCATTGTTTTTTAGAGAATGGAGAGTTCTGTTGCATTGCCTCACATTACCTATACATCTAAACAATATTCTTATATGGGAAGTAGATTGCAGCAGCTGGCATCAGCAAAGCTACTTGAAAGACATTCTTCATGTCCTATGCATAGGCCAGACAAGATCTCTAAATTGGTCCAGACATTTTGGATTTGCTTCACGCTTTGTTCTTGCCATCAAAAACTGGCAAGTTCAAGAAGTCGACAGACAAGATCTCTAAATTGGTCCAGACATACTTTTGGATTTGCTTCACCCTTTGTTCTTGCCGTCAAAAATTGGCAAGTTCAAGAAGTCGGAAAAGAACGTTCACTCCTTAGTAAATACTGACTTGGTCTTTTTTGTCTGCATAACAAATACAGTATTAAATGTTTTAACAGTCATGCTGGATGAGGTGTGGAATGTAGAACTGCTTTTCAGATCAGTCAAGTGGGTTTGAGCACTAAGGCTTTGCGTCGTTAACGTCTGAAAACAAGAGTTTGGAGTTAAAAGGAAACATCATGCAGCTTGCTTTATTTCCCTATTTTTTCAACTTCAAAACTAGCTCAGGTGTGCGGCATCTCAGGATCACAAAACAAAGGGAAAAACAGCTGAAGGTGATTTACACAGAAGTGAAATGCACAAAATTGATCAGGCTATTTGTCTCTCTCTCCTGCCCTTCTCCCTTTGCATCTGAATCACTTCTCTTTCTTCCCCCCATCTTGCTGTCGTTGTTATCCTCAGTTGGTGCCTCTGTTAGCACAGTTGTGCTTTTGGAGATGCAAGCAGCTCAGCCTGAAGCCCTTAACTAAATTAACTGGATGGGGGGGTTCTGTGTCTGTGTGAAGTCTGCAGTGTTTAATTTTGGTACTTTTCTGTTCATGGAAGAGTAAAATTAAGATAACTGCACTCTTACCCGACGGACATCTCACATTGCTTTCTAAGAAGTGAAAGGGAGTTTTGCCATCTACTCTAAGGAATGCCATTGACTGAAATGACCGCTGTTTTAGGCACTGGCTAGGTCAGTGTAAAGTGTTTATACTATTATTTATACTATTTGATAGTATGCCCTGCTGTACTGAAAGCATATACCAGTGGAAAACTAGGCACGTGATACCTTGCTGGTTATTGTTTAATTTCATTTCCGTATGC